TATGCATCGAGGCACACTGTCATCAGATAAAAGGCAACCTGTGGCATAGGAAAAATAGTTGCAAATCATATATTTGATATGGGATTGATATCCAGAATACAGAAAGAAGACCTAAAACTGGACAACAGCAACAACAAAAAAGATAGGTACTTCTCAAAACATTAAAAAAAAAATCAAATTACCAATAAGCACATGAAAAGATTCTTAACAGAACTCATTACTAGAGATATGCAAATCAAAACCACAAGGAGATATTATCTCCCAACCTTCCAACCATCCAGATGGCTATCTAAGCAAACAAAAACAGGAAATAGTGAGAATGAGGAAAAATTTGAACCCTTGTGCTCTTCTGATGAAAATGTAAAATGGCAGAGCCATCATGGAAAATACTATTGCTGTTCCTCAAGACATTAAGAATAGATTTTCCTTCTGATCCTGCAATGCCACCTTTGGTTATAAATCTCAGAGAATTGAAAGCAGGATCTTCAAAAGCTATCTGTACCTCTGTGTTCATCACAGTATTATTCACAGTTGTTAAAATGTTGAATCAACCCAAGTGTCCACTGATAGGTGAACGCCTTAGCAAAATGTTATATACACAAACAAAAGAATCTTAATCTGCCTTAGCAAGGAAGGAAATTCTGATACATGCTACCAGAGGGGTATAAAGAGGACATTATGCTATGTGAAATAAAAGAGTCATATTATGGCATGATGTCTGATACTATTGCTGTGAGGTACCTAGAGAAATCAAAATCAGAGACAGAAAGAATGTTACTTACCACAGCTATTTGAGGAAAGAATGGGAGTTATTGTTTAATGAGTGCGAAGTTTCAGTTTTGTAACATGAAAAGAGTTCCATCTGCACTTGGGTCTATTTATAATGTATTATTTATGTACTTCTAGCTTAGAAGATAAGCTAACTTTTTTTCATTTGCCATAGTTAACTTTTTAAGAAAAAAGTACTTCTTTGGAACACTGGTCTAGGACTCTACAGTTCTTCTAGTCTGCCAGGGGGAAATTTATTCATTGCTCTGATAGAAAAGCATCTTATAGAAAAAGAAGATAATGAACTAAGCCATTCTAAAAGTGGTGTTTGTCTCTGTTGCTTCATGTGGTAAAACAAGAATATTCAGGACGTATCTTCCTAAAACTCAGAGCACAAATCAGAGCTTGTGTTTACTTTTTCTCCTAAGCCTGTTGAGATTTCAGATGTTCTCTCTCCAGCAATTTCAGACTTGCTTCTTAACCCATCCCTTTTTTTTTTTTTCTCACCTCAATTTCTTACACCTCCCTGCCCTTCTCTGCCTGCACAGAAGCCTCTTTAGTATTGTAAAGATGCCTCAAAAATGCCCATCACACAATTGCTGGAACCTGCAAATGTTATGTTACTTGGGAAAGGGTAATTTAAAGTTGCAGATAGAATTAAGGTTACTAATCAGCTGACTAGAAGATAAGGTCGTTATCCTGGATTATCTGGGTGAGTCAAATCTAGTAATAGGGGTCCATAAAAGCAGAAGAGAGTAGGAGAGTCAGAGCAAGACTACAGAAGAGGTCTGAATGATACAATGTAAGGACTCAAATAATTTTTACTAGCCTTGAAGATGCAGGAAAATGGGGTAAAAACGTAAGGAATACCAGCTAGAAAAGCTTGTAAAAGCTAGAAAAGGAAAGCAAATAGATTCATCCATGGAGCCGCCAGAAAGAATGCAACCTGCCAACACCTTGATTTTAGCCCAGTGAGACTTAGTTCAGGTTTCTGACTTCTGAAACTATAACATAATAAAGTCCCTTTTTTTTTTCTTTTGAGCTACTAAATTTGTAATAAGATATACAGCAGCAATTGAAAATGCATTTATTTTATTCTCCTTAGAACATCCAGAGTATTTCCCAGGGGACATAGACAAGTGCTAAGACATAGACCTTCCTTATACTCGAATGGAGATAATGGGTCATTTAATGGCCAATCATTGATGGGTAGCGTAGAAGCATTTCCTATTTATGGTGAACACAGTACAGGTGCTTGTTTCCCTGTACCTAGAAGGTAGACTGATGACAGCTGGCACATGGCTTTACAGTGTGAGAATAGCTCCAGGTCCCTCCTGCTCATCCTGGAATGTAGCCTCAAGATTCCAGGTAGAACTCATGGTTAACATAGCTTTCATCTAAGTCAGTAGCAGTAGTCTGTGGAAGGCAGAGCACAGTCCTTTCTATTCTCATTGGCCAAAACTTAGTGTAACTATACCTAGCTGCATTAGGGGAGGTATAGGAATGTGTCTTTCTGGAAAATATGTATAGCTAAAATTAAAGTTTTTTGTAGTTTGTGTTTAAAAGAAAAAAAAATGTTTTTACTAACGAAGAAAGTGAAAAGAGGTATTTGAAAGCCAGCTGTGGTCTCTGCCATAGGTTTTTGTATGAAACCTATATTCAAATTTAAGAACAAAAGAGTTGACCAAGAGCCCCAGATCTCCCATGGGCCCCCTGAAGCTTTGGTAATTTTGTGAGAACCTGCGTCCTAGTGTGATACACCCTAGTTTGTCCTGTAGCTTGCAGATTATGAGTGCTTCCAACTTTGTTTCTTTTTTTAAGATTTATTTATTTATGCATACAGAACTGGGATACAGGCCAGAGGTGCAGGGGCAGTGAGAGGATTCATCAGAGAGATCGGGGAGCAGAATAGGCAGATCAATAAAATAACACTGCTGAAGGGAGCAGTGGGCGAGACAGAAGAGGTCTGTCACCCCATGTGAATCACCTCTGGGGGTGGGATTGAACTATAAGCTGTGGTCAGCTTATAGTGCTGCATCCTAACCAGGTGTGCCACCAGGGAGGGTCCACCTCCAACTTTGTATGAAAAGTCAAATCAGGCTGTCTCTAGGTCAGCACACCACCTTGTGAAGTTTGTGATGCTTCTTGGAGGTTCGTTTGATTTGGAGATCTATCATTTCCCTGACCATGCTGGTAAAGGCACGGCTGTTAAAGTTTACCTTTATTTTTTGTTTTTATTGAATACATGTGATTTCCCCCTCTCTTGGTCTTCAAATTTATGAAACTCATGGAACTTTGTCACTTCAAAATCCTTTTAGTCTGCCTTCCCACAGTATTTTGAAAAGATGAGGCAATAGTAATTAATTATCTTCCACTTTATGATGTAAATACTGTTGGAATAGCTTCTTCTTGCAGTGTTCTTTATGAAATAACACATTTTCTGTGAAGGGATCTCTTTGTTAAAAGAGAATTATACATAATTTCTTCTTTTGTCTTGAAGGACTGGATGCCAAGACATAAATACCAAAGGAGATAATTTATAGACTTTTGCTTTTTTGGTAATTAAAATAAAAATTATGTCTGATTTTAGTGGATAAGTAAAAATCTATGTATAGAAGTCATTATGATTGTTCTTCCTTCCCAGGTTTTCTATGTGTCCTTTTTTCCATTTTGAGATGTTAGCTTGATCCTACTTCATCCCTGGATAAAAAGATTCCCCAAAGCAACCAGAAGTCATGGTTTTTAATAAAGTGAACAAGATTCAACTAATGTAGACTGAGGCAGTATTTTAATGCTTCTCATTTCTTGGGTCATATGGTCTACCTCTCAGACCTTGCTTCATTACTGGAAGTCAGTGACCTCATGGGCACATTTATGCAGGTGACCCTGAAATAGCATGTGGCACCTCTATGTGGAGAAGAGCTCATCAGACTGTAGGCGAAACAAGCACTAAAAATAAAATAGGATACATTCCAGGTGAAGGAGAATAATAGGATACATTCCAAGGTGATGGTGGTCAAGAAAAAATCAAAGACCTGAAATTAAGATTGGATTTGAGGCAGTGGAAGACACAGATGGGGAGGAGGCAAAGAAGCTTCTCACAATTTACATAGATAAAGATCTCTACTCTTTGAACATCAGTGTTGCAACTCCTTGCTATAGGGGTAGTAAGTCTATTGTACCAGAAGACTTCTAGAGAACTCATTAAGGTAATTAACCATTTAGATATGACAGTCCCTCCCTCTTGACATTATAGATGTGCTTCTGAAGAATTGTAAACCAAGGACCCTCCTTGGTGGTGCAGCAGGTTAAAGCACCACACCATGAAGCTAGCTGCAGCCAATACAACATCAGTTTGATCTCAGGCCAGGGAGGTAACCCACATGGTATGACAGACCTCTTCTGACCCTCCCACTGCTCCCCTCAGCAGTGTATTTTAGTACAGCTGCCTGTTCTGCTCTCTGTCTCTGGTAAGTCTGTCATCCCCATTTTCTGTCAATCCACCTGTTTTGCTCCCCACTCTGTCTCTGGTGAATCCTCTCATCCTCTCCCCCACACCTCTAGCCTGTACCCTAGTTCTTATGTGCATAAATAAATACATCTTTTTTAAAAAAAAATTGTAAGCCAAGTGGATAATTCTGAATCAAGCCATTTTTTTTTCAGATGGATTAGAAAATAATGACTGTTTAATATAATGGTGAATCGGTAACACAGAAAAGCCACGCCTCCTCTTACAGTGTCTTTGCAGTATAATACTTTTAGGTATTTACAGTTAGCTGGAAAGTGGGTATTTGAGCCCATAAAGAGAATATCTTAAACTTGGTGCCTTGAGTCCTGCAGGGTGCTGTCACTTACCATTCCTCCCTTTGCCCATCTTTCACCCACTCACATGCTGTCCAGCGCCTACAGTATGATGATAGTAGTAACAATCAGTAGTCCTAGTGCCATCACCCTAACCACCTGGAACTGTTTTCAAAAAGTAATAAAGTTTAGTAACTTGCTTTCCTAAGTGTAACATAGTCAAATATTCTTCATTTTTTTTCCTGTGAAGAAGCCATAGAAGTGCAGAGGGTGGGGGGAATTGAAAAAGCAACCACATCTGACCTCCTTGCCAGTCTAAGGCTATGTCCATCTGGAGCTGGAGAAGACTGGAAGATCCCATCTAGGATAAACCTGCACATTTGGTGGTTTATGAATTCTGAAGCATTCTTGGTCTTTGTTTTCTTTTCTAGTGTGTTTGAAAGACCTACCCAGCACTCCAATGGCCAGCAACAATACTGCCAGCATAGCTCAAGCCAGGAAACTGGTAGAACAGCTGAAGATGGAAGCTAACATTGACAGGATAAAGGTGAGTGCAGCCCAGTCACACAAAACTCATGTCACCTTGATTATAAGGAGCATCATTTACAGCCTTCTCGTATTTGTCTACTCTTTCATAGAGACGATAAAACCAGTAAAATGGGAGAGAAATAACAGTTAGACAGTAGTTCATTTTTCTAATGTGTCTTTGCTTACTTTCGCTGACTTTAGCATACAATGATAGTATGTAAACTAAATTTATTTGCTTTATCTCCTTCCTTTCACGTGCATGCCATACTAAACCATTTTTTAATTCCCTTGATGGGAATTCCAGGTGCGTGGGACATTCACTCTCTACCTTTTTCCTTGAAGACTTAGAGCAATCATGCCCTTTAAGGAGCTTTCCCAGACGTTTATCATAAGGTTGGGTTGTTGCTGTTTTCAGTTGTTTATTTATTTATCTGATAAATATTTTAAATTTTTCTAAATTATCAGACCTTGTTAGGTCCTACAGACATAGAAATAGATTGAGGTGAATTCATGATTTTTGCCATAAAGGATCTCCTAGTATTGTAAGGGGTTACAGAAAGGTACAGGTGGTACCTCTGCCTTCTCCCCTATTCCTATGACTTCAAGCCAGAAGTGCATTAAGTCTCTGCTGCCCTTTGATGCAAGTAAGACCCCCCCAAAAAAGCATAGTTAGCAAATCTTATCAGAAAGAAGTAATGCCACACCTTGAGTTAACCTTCTTCCAAAGAGACGAATATGTGACTACTAAAAGATAGACAACATATTAGTCTGTTTAAATGAATGCCAAGTAACCAGTTGCCTTCCTTGGTGATCTTCACATTCAAGTATATGAAGCCCTCTTGATGTCATTAGACCTTAAGTTACTGGAAATGCAGCAACAGCCTGTATTTCGGCATTTGCTTTGCACATCAGAACCAAGCAGGCATGCTGTGGTAAAGTGACAGATTATTTTTAGTTTAGCTGTTGGGTAAAACTGAGACTGTGTTGACACAGTTGTCAGCTAGCTGGCTGAGGGCTTGGTGATCTGCCTTTAGGAATCCCATATAGGCATCTAGGCATTGGGAAGGGGCTTCTCTCTGAAGAGGCCAGTCTGTGATTGGCCTGTCAGTGGTGACCTCTTCAAGCTCTAAAGGGCAGCAAGGGCTTTATGCCTCTCTGGCAGAAGCTTCTGGCCTGAAATCATAGGAACAGAGAATAAGGGGGTGGGGGAGTGGGTACCACTGGCACTGGAGGTGCCTGTGGTCCCTTCAACTACAATGTCCTGGCCCCTTCTGTGGCTTCCAGAATAACTTGTAACTGTGAGAGGATCTAAAAAGCACATTCATTTTTAAACCTTCTTGTCTTCTCCCTTTGTATCACAGATCTTAGGAGATTTAGATTAAGGAATCCATTATCTGTTCATACATCTCAGCTATATATGAATTATACTTTCAACTGTTATATATTTCTTTGTTAGCATTTCATTCACTGATAGAAAGTAAAGAGAAATCAAGGAAGCTGGGAAGGGGTCTGGAAGAAGGTACAGAGTGGGGTTGGGGAGGCTGACGTGCCTACCTGCAGATATACGAAACAGCAGTGTCTCACACAAACCCCGGGCAAAGGCAGAATGAAGGAAAGCTTGACTTTAAAGCACAAGTTGAGAAAGCATGCATGAAAGTAAAGGGTAGCAGGACTTCAGTAAATCTGTTTATTCATCACTGTATTAGGACTCTCTGGGTTTCTAATAATAAGAGCCGAACTCAAGCTAGCTTAAGCCAAGAGGACGTAGGGGAGGAGGTTGATTTTAAAAGATACAAGGTGTCTTAGCATCCAAGAGCAGAAATGTAGCTGGGGAGGCAGAGGAAGTGAGAACTGGAAGGCCACCCGGCACTGTGAGTGCTCCCTTAAATGTCTCTGCTTCTCTCTGTCTGTCTGCCCTTTTCTTTTCCTGGAAGGAGTGAATGTGTCAGCTGCCTCTTCCATATGGCAGACACAAGAGGGGCTGCCTGTGGCTCCTAAGGCCGCATATCACAGTTCCTCCATGAAGAAAAAGATAGATTGACTTAACCCCTTTTATTCTCAATCCCATATTCCTGGCCTCTCTGTTTAGCAAGAAGGAGCCATCTGCATTTCCATCAGCTGGTGTTAGAATTGAGCCACCTTGCCCAAATGAGGATCTTAGGAATGAAGCCACCCATGTGGGTGAAAAGGAAGTTGTAATTAAAGAAGGGCAAAACCACTGTAATCTGAGAAGATGCTCTTTGACAAAAGTCGTTGTTTAAGTCATGAAGAACATGATGTACAAGCCACAGATTAACAATGTGGGTAAAATGATTGCTTCATAACTATCTCAATACACTATAAATTGACCCCATATAGAAATGTTAAACTTATTTCTCATCTCTCCCAGATATTCCCAATAGACTCTAACTAGCCCAAGAAATGCTATGCAAATTTCCAACTTTCGGGTTATTCCAGGTCCCTCTGAAAATACTGTCTCTCTTATTCTCTTCCTATCTACTAGAGATTGAATGTTTGTGTCCCCCCCACCCCCAAAATGGATATATTGAAATGCTAGCCTCCATGTGATGCTATTAGGAGGTGGGGCCCTTGAGAGATGATTACGTCAGGAGGATAGAGCCTGCATGAATGGGCTTAATCCCCTTATAAAAGGGAACCCACATGCCTTGGTGGTGGGTGTGGTGTGGCAACACATGTCTGAAAAGGTGTGAACCTGGACCCCTGAATCATATATAGTCATCTAAACCAACATTACCTCAGTAGAAAATATATAAAAAAGAGAAACCCTTTGCCCCTTCCACCATGTAGGGTTACATAAGACCCATCTTTGAGCCAGGAGGAGGGCCCTTTCTAGAAGTGAGGCTGTCTGCACCATATCTGAGACTTCCCAGCCTCCAGAAATGGGAGAAATGCTATTGTTTATAATTCACCCTATCAGTGCTACTTTGTTAGAGCAGCCTAAATGGACTAAGACATGTGTAAATCTTACTCCTCTAATGTACGTTGAAGATCAGGTGAAATCCCCACTGATCGTGAATCTCTTTTTCCACTTTGATCATAGTTACTAGTTAATCTCACCTCCATCAAATAAACTTTTCTAACCAAACTACACAGTTATCAAAATCTAAGACCATGTTCTCATTCCTTTGCATCCTTTCTCGTTAAAGCTACATTTACGTAGTAAGCGTGACATGTAGCATGACCTCAGGAACCATAGACATGAGACACTTCCTATTACATTTATAGTTTGGAGAGATGTACAAAAATGAATGTGAATGAACAAAATAAAACTCTGATAATAGAATTTTAAAAAAGCCAGGCCTGTGATAGTCAATGCTTGACATTCACTCTAAGGTCCCATTTCCAGTTCCCACTCCAGTATAATCTTTGAAATAATTTTAAGCAACAAATTGAAGTAGTCAACCCTGGATGACTCCATTATGCAGGCAACTCAACTAATTCCTGAACACACAGGCACTTCCAACACACATTGACAGTGAGGACCTGTCCATATTATGACTTTGCCTGATGCGTTGCAAGCATTTTGCAACATCAATTTTAAGATGTGTCTTTCAGAATGTAATGAAGACAGAGATATATGCTTATTATGTTTAGATTCTTGGGTCGAGTTTTTATTCTTACTGAAAACAGCTTTTTAGAGCAGTCAGGGTATCTGCTGAAGTAGGTTGCTGTTTTTTCAGAGTTAAGATCACAGGCTGGTAGCCTTTATTGGATCAATCTAGAGATCCTCTTCCCTTACTCCCTGGTTCTCAACCCCAGTCTATTCTGGTAAGATGAGTTTCAAAATTGTCAACCTAGGGAGATTCATGTTATCAAAAGTAAATTCCCTCTTTGTTTATCACGTGTGATCTCCCTAAACAAGGACACATCCACACCACTACCTGCCATCATTTCTGCTCCATTTCATCATTGCCAGCAGCATACAAACATAGTGTTATTTCTCCATCTTACATAAAATTTTAATTTTTTGCTCTTAAACCTTTTAACTTGGCTCATTTGTTTGCTCTACTTGTAGCATAACTCCTTGAAAAGGTTGTTTACATTCACTACCCTTAATTAGTCTCCTTTCTTTTGAAAAATTATTTTCACTCCAGAAATAATCTCAAAACATACAGGAGCATTGCCAATACATTGCAAAGAATTTTGTTTTCCCTTGAACTATCTGAGAATTGAGTTTTCAACAGATGACTTTATTGTGCATTTCCTACAAGGAAAAACATTCTGTATAGTCATAGCATAACCATTAGAATAACAAACTGACATTGATACATTACAACCTTCTAATCCTCAAATGCCATTAAATTTTGTACATCATCCCAATTATGTGCCTTTCAGGAGCAAGTTCCAGTTCAGAATTGTGCTGCATTTAGTCATACTGTCAGGCACAGTTCCTTAGACTTCCTGGATTTTCATGATCCTGCACTTAAGAAAACTACTTATTTTGTGTACTACTATTCAATCTGGGTTTGTTTGAGAGTTCTTAATGATTAAATTCGGGTCACAGAACTGTGACATTAACATCATAGAACTGTTGGGGAGTTGGTTTTATTGCATATGCTCTTAGAGGCATGCGATTTCAAATGGGCTCACACTGGTGATGTTAATGTTGATGACTTGATTAAAGTAGTGTCTTACAGGAGTCTCCCTGTAAAGTTCTTCCTTGTCCCATTGTAGTTAATAAATATTTGGAATTTGGAGAAGGGACCTTAAGACTATTTAAGTATCCTCATCAAACATTCTGTTATGTAAATTTTGTTTAATTACATTACTATGGACTCATGGTTTCCTCTTATCCACTGGTATGTAATCCACTACTATCATTGTTTATTTCAGTGTTAAAACTGTTAGACTAAAAAGCTGATAACAGTATCCTTTTGAAGTGCCTTCATCATTCTTTGTTTCCCTAGTTCTTGGCACAAAAACATGTTCTAGGATTCTTTTATTTCCTTGTCCCTACCCTGGAATCCTCCTTTTCTCCAAAGAACATTAGTTCTTTTA